CTTGCTCTGCCCCCGACGATATGAATCGCAGGTAGGCCTTGGCATGTTCGCTCAGCTCGTGTAAGACAACCTTGATTTGCCATACCCCGAATACGTATGGGGTTCGTGCTCCTGGGAGGCTCCGCGGAGTGGGGTGGGACGCACATCCAGCCGACCCCTCGCGTTTCCCCGGTGAGCTGCGAACGGCGCAACTGTCGACATTTTCGTGGGCCCTTGGGAGGTTCAACCGAGTCAAAAGGTACGCACGTCGCGCCGAGACCTCGCGGTTCTCTGGGGGGGCTACGAGCTGCGCAAGTTCTGTCACTTTCGTGGGCGTCCAGCCGACCCCTCGCGCTTCCTTGGGTGGCTACGAACTGCGCAACCGTCGACACTTTCGTGGACTCCTGGGACGTCTGGCCGAATCGAATGGTACGCACATCGCGCCGAGACCTCGCGGTTCTCTGGGGTGGATGCGAACTGCGCAAGTTCCGTCACTTTCGTAAGCTGCTGGGAGGCCCTGGGGACTGGGGTGGTACGCACACCGCTACGAGACCTCGCGGTTCCTTGGGGGGGTTGCGAGCTGCGCAACTGTCGCCACTTTCGTGGGCTGCTGGGAGGCCCCGCGGAGTGGGGTGGTACATAGCGCCGAGACCTCGCGGTTCTCTGGGGGGACTGCGAAATGCGCCATTGTCGCCGCTTTCGTGGGCTGCTGGGAGGCTCCGCGGAGTGGGGTGGTACGCACATCCAGCCGACCTCTCGCGTTCCCCTGGTGAGCTGCGTACGGCGCAACTGTCGCCCGCCACTTTCGTGGACCCTTGGGAGGTTCAACCGAGTCAAGAGGAGCCCACCGTAGTCGCTAGTCGCGCACACTTCGTCGACCCCTCGCGGCTCCCTGGGGTGGCTGCAAACTGCGCAACAATCGCCACTTCCATGGGCTCTCGGGGAGCCAACAGTAGTCGGTAGTCGCGCACACTTCGTCGAGATCTCGCGGCTCCCTGGGGTGGCTGCGAACTGCGCAACCGTCGACACGTTCGTGGGCACTCGGGGAGCCCACCGTGCTCAGTAACTCACGCACACCTCGCCGAGACCTCGCGACTCCCTGGGTGGCCGCGAACTGCGCAACTGTCGCTATCTTCGCGGGCTCCTGGGAGGTCCAGCGGAAGGGAATTACGCGCGGACCCATCCGAGACCTTGCGGCTCCCCGGCCTGGCTGCTCTCCTTCGGACCTTCGGCACCCACACGGAGCGCTGCAGGAGTGAGCTCGCACTCGCACCTGTGTTGCGCTCGGCGCATGGCGCTGGTATGTCATAGCGAACACGGCACTGCTCAGTGCTGCGAGTGTAAAGCGCGGAGCTGTCACTCCCACTAAATCATGTGTCAAGATTCCCCCGTATGTTTCTACACGCGTCGTTCTGCGCCACTCGTCTGCTCGTTGTCGCTTGCTGCCGATAGTCTAAATCGCAAGAGCGGTGCCGCGAGTGGGATCCATTTGACTGTGGCCAATCATTATTTGGCGAAGCGTTCAAGGGCACTGTACGTCCTTCAATATTCGCGTGTGTATTGAGCAGTCATACGTGTAAATGTGTGCAAAGGGTTGGGTACGTCCCCAGCTAATGCATATTAAACCATTCGGGAAACGCGGCCACGAAGAACCACTATAGCCACAAAGCATCCCGCGACACCCCAAACAACGAGATGACCCACAACGCAGCCAGGTGCTCTCCGTAGCTTCGTGGGCAGCCCCCGCGAGCCCGAGGTGCGGATCCAGGCGCAGCGCACGGGCCCCACTCAAAAGCTCACATGAGCGGACCTGGCCTCGCCAACGCAAAGGCCCGCGCCAACTCTCCCTGACGATGTCCCCCCCCCAACTAGCGCCAGAGACTGGCAACACGCCGTCAGATCGCCCACTAAAATCCACCGAACAAACCGAGAAGCCTAAAAGCACCCGATCGTGACCTCGCACGCCTGCAGGCGAACCTTCGAAGAACCCCAGGCGGAACAAAAATCAAACACTGGAACGCACAAACAAAAACGTTGTGATGTCTGCCAGTGTCGCCGGCAGAAGCAACAACCTTGAATCAGTGTCTGTGGTTCCAACAAAGAGCCCATGCCGCCCAGCTCAGTTCGAAACTATCCGAGAGAACACTCGGCAGCGCAGGGCAACATCTTCGTTGGGTGTTTCTGCACGCCTTGGCAACAACTCCAAATGACGATCATCATCCTCATCATCATCACCACCATCATCATCGTCATCATCACCACCACTACTATCATCACCGCCATCATCATATGTTTTCTCCGACTCCTCCTCATCATCTTCGACCCACTCCTCCTCCTCCTCCTCCTCCTCACCCTCATTCCGTCCACCTCTGCCCCAGCCAGCCTGTGTTGTTGGTATCAGCGAAGGTCTCGTCGCAGGAGTGGCACAGGACGCCGTTGTATGGCCCACTGAATGAAGAAACAATGAACGGCGCACTGTGTACTGTCCAATCGTTCACCTGGTTGCCTTGGAACACGACCACTTCCTCGCAACATGCAAGCGTGTCGGACGGCGCCACTGGGCTAACGGTCGAGTTAGAGAAACGAGGCTGGATGAGAAAAGGGAGCAGGAGGAGGGCGTGGAGAAAGACGAAGGGCGAGGGAAAAGAGATGAAAGACGAGGAGGAAGGAGGGGGAAGACAAAGGGACGGAAGCAGAAGTGCGGGCATTCACCGCACGATAGCCGCAGAGATCACGGAGGTGGAGTAGGACTCGATAGCCAGGATGGACGCCAGAGGGCACCTCAACTGAACGTCGGGGGAGCCCCTGCGTGCAGCACGATGCATGGGATCCATCGAGGTCGTATAATCAAGGATGGCATTGCGCAGGAGGGCCAAGCGTTGCATAGCGTTCGTGGCGGCGACCCCAGCACAAAGCATCTGCAAACCAAAAGCCCCGCCACGGGCCAGACCGGGTGACGGACTGCTTTCGGCAGGACGGGATTGGTAGCAGCTGATTTTCGTTAGGGGGAATGGCGGGCGAAGAGCCCTAGGCAGTGGTGGGAGACGCTGAAATCTCGCTTACAATCTGGCGGACGAACAGGCCGGTGCGAGACCAACAGCACCCCTCCTTTTGATCCCGCTTGTCTGCGAAAGCTCGCAATGATTGTCCGCCCGAACAAATTGCTTACTATACTCAAAAGCCCCAGGGGGCGGGTGAATGTCCTAGTCGTGGGTCTTGTATAGAAAGCTCCGTCCCTGTGGCGTGGGCTTTGTATACTGAAAGTGGCGCCGGGCGGTGGAATCTGACTGGGGTTAGATCGGGTCTGTCCCCCATACAAGGAGATTTGGGGCGAAAAACAAAACATGGTCCAAAAATGCTGTAAACAAAAGAATTAAACATATTCTAGAACACGTCCCCAGGCTATGTTTTTGACTACGTTCGAAAAAAATGTAGAGGGGCATGCCCGACCTAAGACTGGGGCAGGGAGGGCGCGGTACTCAACAAACAACAAAATCTTGAGGGGACTTGCAGGCCTCAGCGGCGACCCGTGAAGACGCCTGCAACGATGGACAACGCCTCTTGCGCTGGGCGCACCCCACTGACAATTGACTACCTGCCAAATCACCCCAACCCAACCCGAAGACCCGAATTCAGGGTTTGGGGGGGCAAGGGCTGCATATACTCAGTACCCCGCAGTTGCGGATACGAGTGAGGGGGCGGCGAGGACGTCGCCAGTCTTCGAGGCTCTGAAGAAGCCCGCCGCAGTCGCCTATTTTAGAATTATGCATGAAGCCCGCCGCAGGCGTCGATTCTTTCGTTAAAACAATGTGAATGGATCGCAGGGTGGGTCGCGGGTGGGTCGCGGGTGGGTCGCGTCGGGTGGGTCGCGGGTGGGTCGCGGGTCGCGGGTGGGGTCGCGGGTGGGTCGCGGGTGGGTCGCGGTTGGGTCGCGGGTGGGTCGCGGGTGGGTCGCGGGTGGGTCGCGGGGTGGTCGCGGGGTGGGTCGCGGGGTGGGTCGCGGGGTGGGTCGCGGGGTGGGTCGCGGGGTGGGTCGCGGGTGGGTCGCCGCGGGGTGGGTCGCGGGTGGGTGGGTGGGTCGGGGTGGGTCGCGGTGGGTGTGGTGGGTCGCGGGGGGGTCGCGGGGTGGGTCGCGGATGGGTCGCGGGTGGGTCGCATGGTGGGTGGGTGGGTCGCGGTGGGTCGCGGGGTGGGTCGCGGATGGGCCGCGGGTGGGTCGCATGGTGGGTTGCGGGGTGGGTCGCGGGGTGGGTCGCGGGGTGGGTCGCGGGGTGCGTCGCAAGTGGGTTCGCGAAGTGGGTCGCGGGTGGGTCGCGGGCGGGTCACCGGGTGATTCGCGGGTGGGTCGCGGGTGGGTCGCGGGGTGGGTCGCGGGGTGGGTCGCGGGGTGGGTCGCGGGTGGGTCGCGGGGTGGGCCGCGGGGGGAACGACGACAACAAACGACAACAGCAACAACAACAACAACAACACCAACAACAACAACAACAACAACACCAACAACAACAACAACAACAACACCAACAACAACAACACCAACAACAACAACAACAACAACACCAACAACAACACTATCAACAAGGACAAGGACAAGGACAAGAACAAGAACAACAACAACAACAACAACAACAACAACCATTTTAAGGCTGTACGCTCTTACTTGCCCGCGAGTCATTCAACACGTATACCCCACACCCTCGAAACCCGCCCTCTTCGTCTTCGATCACACCCCTTTCGGGGGGATTAATTCTCTTTGCTGGGGCCGGCGGGCTTAGACGCACGGGCAAACCGGAACGGGCGGACAATCCTTCGGGGGCGTACATCTCTCTGCCCGCCATTGGAATTGGCGCGGGCCCTGCAAGAGGAGGAGGGGAAGAACGAGGGAGAGTGGGAGGAAGGGGAGGGGGAAGGACGAAGGAAGAGGGAAGATACCACGTTGTGAAGGCGTCCTTGGCGCGCGCGTGGTTCCTGAGCGCCGAAACGCAATTCCAGAATAATTTGTGAGGACGTCGCACGCGAGAGCGCAATCCTGAGTACATTGTGAATAAATCTCGGGCGGGAGCGGGGGCCCTGACTAAGTTGCGAGGAAGTCTCAAGCGGGAGCGCCGTTCCTGAGCAAATTGCACGGAAGTCTCAAGCGGGAGCGGGGGTCCTCACTAAATTGCGAGGAAGTCTCAAGCGGTAGCGCCGTTCCTGAATCAATTGCGCGGAAATGTCAAGCAGGAGCGGGGGTCCTGAGTAAAATTCGAAGAAATCTCAAGCGGGAGCGCCGTTCCCACGTAAATTGCACGGAAGTCTCAGGCGGGAGCGGGGGTCTTGATTACATTGCGAGGAAGTCTCAAATGGGAGTGCCTTTCCTGAGTAAATTGCGTGGAAGTCTCAGGCGGGAGCGGGGGTCCTGAGTAAAAATCGAGGAAGTCTCAAGCGGGAGCCGTTGTTGTTGTAGCCCGGGGGGCAGGGGCACACTTTGAGCAGGAAGACTTTCCTTTAGAAAAAACAAGGTGCGAGCCCCGGGGGTGGCACTTCAATCGAAAAAAATCAATGTGCACCGGTGGGGGGGGATCAACAATAATTATTCTTCAAGAATGAGAGTTCAACAACAACAATCATACTAAGACTGTTCGCCCTCATCTGCTCGAGTGCCCAAGAAGGCGTATTTCCCAAAACCCTCGCTACCCGCCTTCTTCGTCTGCGATCGAACCCTTGTTGGGGTGTACCTTTCTTCCCTGCAGGCCGGGCCCCGGCAAGCGGCGGACCGGCTGCGGACCGTCGGCCTGGCCAGCGGCAGCGCTGATCAGCGGGGCGGCCGCGGACCGTCGACCCGACCCCAAGAGGGACGGACAGGTGACCGACCACGACGACGACGACGACGTCGACGACGACGGCGACGACGACGACGACGGCGATGACGACGACGAGCGAAAGCGAGAGCGAGAGAGAACGGCAGCAGGGCCACGAAGGACACGAAGTAGGCCACGAAGGGCGACAGCGGCGACACGAAGGGAATGCGTATGGGGCCACGAAGAGCGCGAACGAGCGGGGGCCACGAAGGGCAGATAATGCGGGGCCACAGAAGGCAACGGTGGGGCCACAGAGGGTAGCATCTGGGCCAAGTAGGACACTGAAGGAACCACAAGCGGCGACAGCGGGGCCACGAAGGGCATGCACATGGGGCCGCAACGGGCGCGAACGAGCGGGGGCCACGAAGGGCCAACGTATGTTGGGCCGCGGAAGGCAAGGACGGGGCCACTGAGGGCAGCATCGGGGCCACGAGTGGCAGCGAGGGAGCCACGAACGGCGACAGCGAGGCCACGAAGGCATGCATATGGGGCCACCACGGGCGCGAACGAGCGGGGGCCACGAAGGGCATACATATATGGGGCCGCGAAGGGCAGCATCGGGGCCACGAAGGGCAGCGATAGGGGCCACGAAGGGCTGCAACGGGGCCACGAAGGCCAACGAGGGGGCCACGAAGGGCTGCAACGGGGCCACGAAACAAAGCAAGGGGGCCACGAAGGGCTGCAACGGGGCCGCGAAGGGCAGCGAGGAGGCCACGAAAGGTTGCAACGGGGCCACGAAACAAAGCGAGGGGGCCACGAAGGGCTGCAACGGGGACACGAAACAAAGAGAGGGGGCCACGAAGGGCTGCAACGGGGCCACGACGGGCAGCGAAATCCCGATTCCTAGGTAATCTGTGAGGGACTCCTAAGCGTGAGCGCCACTCCTGGGTGCCTGGGTGTCGGGAGCGCGGCGCTGGAATAAATGACAACAAATTCCAGCACAAGGGCGCCATTCGTCAGTACATTGCGAGCAAGTCTCCAGCGACACCGTGACTCCACAGCGCCGGAAGAGCGATTCCTGCATAAATTGCAAGGGGATCCAAGCGAGAGCACGCTTCCTGCATACATACGAGGACGTCTCGGGCGGGAGCGGGTGTCCTGGCTAAACTGTGAGGAGGTTTCCAGGCGGGACCCGTTGTTGTTGTAACCCGGGGGCCAGGGATACAGTTTGAGCATCATTACTTTCCCTGACAGAAAAAAGGCACGAGCGTCAAAAGGGGACACTTTGATTGCGAAACGCAATGTGGAGGATCAACCATAATTACCTTCAGCAATAAGAGTTCAAAAACAACGGCAATCATTTTAAGACCGTTCGCTCTTATCTGCTCGCGTGTCGTTGAACATGCACTTCCCGAGCCCTGGATAACCGCCCTCTTCGTCTTCGATCGCACCTCCTTTTGGGGGGGTACATTCATTCCATGCCACGTGTGGTTGGCGAAACCCTTGAAAACGAAGGGTAGCAAATAACGGGGGAGAACGAGGACGAAGGGATCAGAAGACAGGAGGGGGGTGCAAGAAGGAGGGGGACGATTATTTGCGCTACGAGTGGCGATTCAGCTTGCGCCATGGCTTGCGCCAGCCACTCCAGCACAGGTTGACAATAAGTTTCGCCATGGGTCGCGCCATAAACAGCGCCACGTACCACCCCCTTGAAAGAAAATATCGTGGATACCCCCACGAGGGG